GAGCTGTGTGTTGGTTAAGACCCAGTTAGGCTAGGAGAAAAGTCACCCAAGAGATCTCGATAGCCAAATTAGCTATTGCTTTCTACTCTACCTCTATATAACTACGAGCCACAGTTTTAAAGTAAGAAGATTTCTAAGAGATCAAATTTGTGCCAAGGAATATAGCATAACTCCCTATGGATTTTCTATCATCCAAAGAGCTGAGAGTCAGAAAACCAAAAACAAGATGTGAGTTCGACCTTTGAATGTGGAGACATGATTTGGCAGTAGGTTTCAGGTAACACAAAATGTGTTTAATAGCAATCCAATGATCTGATATTGGAGCATTCATAAACTGATACACTTTCTTGACTGCATAAGCAATATCAGGATGGGTTAAACTGGGATATTGCAAGGCACCCACCACTTAACAATACAGAGTAAGGTCTTTGAAGATAGAGCTATCAGTTATAGTGAATTTAGAGGTGTTTGGCATGGGTGTGGACACTAGACGGCAAGACAACATTTCATGTTTAGAAAAAAATATCAACAATGTATTTTCTTTATGAGAGAATAATACCTTGCATTATTTTAACCATCTTAATGCCCAAGAAGAAACTAATGTCTCAAGGTCCTTTGTACCAAGCCGAGAGTTCATGGCAGCTATCACATATTATAAGAACAAAGGGTTATTACCTATGATTAAAATATCATCGACATAAGTAAGAAGGAAGACCTTGTAACTTTCCACATGGTAATTAAACAAATAAAGAGGAGTCAGTTTTGGAACCAACAAATCTGCAAAGAAGTAAAAGTTCCTCAAGACAGGAGAAACAAGCCCTCGGTGATTGCTTTAAGCTATAGAGGGATTTGTGCAATTTACAAACATGGTCAGGGAACTGAGAGTCTACAAATCCTGTAAGTTATGTCATAAAAACACCTTCATCAAGACTGCCATAGAGAAAAGCATTATGAAAGTCCAATTGTGGAATGGTCTAACCATATGAGACTGCCAAGGTAAGGACACATCGAATAGTTGAAGGTTTTACCACTAGGCTGAGTGTTTCCCCGTAATCTATACCTTCTTGATAATGGTAGCCTTTGGCAATTAACCTGGCCTTTTACCTTTTGATGCTTCTATCAACCAGTTTTTTTTCTGAAAACACACTTTTTTCCTATAATATTCATAGAAAACGTTGGAGGCGCTAAGCTCCAGGTATGAGTTTTTAGACGAGCATTGAATCAATGGACATAGCAGAACGTAACTTTGTATATTTCCTTGCTTTCGAAAAACAAATAGGTGTTTCAGAAATTATGCTAGGAGTTACAACCAAAGAGGCAGAAGGTTTAGACAAAGTGCATATGGAACGAAGCACCATAACTTGAATTGGTAGCAGTGGAAAATAAGTACTTGGATTTTGGTGGGCCAATCATACTCACTAAAGTTAAAGTCTAAGACTAAGATCAAGCTAGGTGGAGCAGAAGAAGAGCTACTATGAGAAGGAGAGGGTATGATGAGAGGCGTTGATTTGGAAGGTAATGTGGATTTATGAAGAATTAGGGAAGTAGATAAATGTTGGATTTGTAATGGTGAAGAGGTAACAGGTGAAGAAGAGACTGAACTGTCAGAGGTCTGTTGAGGATGAATTTGTGCCGGAGAACAGAGCGTGACAGCGAGCTGGAGGCTTTGAATGTGAGCTTTTTGGAAATGGGCTGGACTAATATGTGCAAGACATGGCGAGGATGACTGCACGTTTGGGCCTATACGCTTTTGGGCCGTAGGGTTGATGTGGCTATGGGCAGGCTGGAAGTGTGTTGAATTGGTTTGAGGTAGTGGGCTTGGATCAGGATTTTATGGACATAGACCGGCCTTTGAGAGATGCTGATTCGAAGAAAGATGAGAATCAAAAGATTATAGCTGAATAGGGACAGCAACCCAAGAGGAAATAGAATTTGTTGAATGAAGTTAGGGGAGCGTATTTCCAGCCTGTGCAAACGGAAAAATGCTTGGACAAAAAGGACGTGACAAGTAATGTAAAAACAATTTGTGGGTTTTTCAAGACAGCGATACCCCCAATGAGATGGGTTGTAGCCAAGAAAGATAAGAGAAACATAGACACTTAAAAGATTTTTAAGGAGTAGCCTAGTTTTCTCTTAAAAACAATCTCAAATGGTGATTTATTTTTAATAGAAAACGATGGCATAAGATTAATTAATAAGAAACCCCATAGTTTCAAAAGCAAAATGCTATTTTTTCCTATGAAATTTATCTTCACCTAATAATGTTAGACTTGTTTTGATGATGCGACAGTAACATCTTTTAATAGTCCTATTTTGTTCATGTGGACAAGGGCACATGATATGATATATTATATTAATTAATCTTAAAAAATTATTTAGATTATAAAACTCCTAATCCCAATTTGTTTGAACTTATTTAATCTAACAATTAAATTGACATTCAACTAATTTTTGGAATCGAATCAAGTACATCTAACTTTTTACGTACCAAAAAATATCAAATAAACTTTTAAAAAATATTAATAAATATAACATAATACTTATGACTATCAACACATGCAGTAAGAGAAGGTTCTCATACATTAATAAAAAATTAAATTTAAAAAACTAGTACTTAAATGAGAATAGAATGACAAAGGTAAATGGCTTGCTTTCCCAAATATAAAAGACAAACAAGGACTAAATAATTATCTAGAGTCAATAACTTGCTGTTAGGATATCCATTAGAAGAAGTTGTGGTTGTTGCTGTTGCTGAAGGGGAAGAAGCTATGGTTGATGCTTGTTTTAACAATGACTAAAAATCTGACCTTTTTTAGTTATGTTGTGATTGACATCAAGATTATGTTGGATAATGAGAAGGTTAAAGCTATCTGGGAATAACCTTTATCCAAAACCATTTCTAAGGTACGTTCTTTCCATGATTTAGTTGCATTTTACAATTGATTTATACGTAGTTTCAGTAGCATAGCAAGCTTCATTACAGGTTATTTAAAAAGAAAGGCCATTTGTATGGACTGAAGTAGTAGAAAAGAGTTTTCAGTTGATTAAAGACAAGTTGACCAAAGCTTCAGTTCTTGCATTACCAAGATTTGATGAAAAGTTTTTTTAAGTTAGAGAAAGATGCCTCCATTGTGGGGATTTGTATTGTTCTTTCACAAAAATGACATCCAGATGCATTCTAAAAAAAATTGAATGAAGCAAGGAAGAATCGGTCCACCAATGAGTTTGATTATATGCTAATGTCCAAGCACTCTGATGTTGGAAACATTACCTAGTGCAACGGGAGTTCGTGCTATTTTTTTGCTTTCAAATCCATCAAAAACCCACAAAATCACAAGTAGATGCATGCTTGATGGATTGCTTTTCTTCAACAATTTATTTTCACTCTGAAACACAAGTCAGGAGAGAAAAATTAGGAGGTTAATGCTCTTAGCAAACAGGTGACGTTCTTGCTTAAACTACAAACGAAGGTTACTACATTCAATTCATTTAAGGAATTGTATTCATGTGATGCTGATTTTAAGAATCACTGGGCTCGTTGCAATAATGGCCAACCTAGTGTACTCTTAATACATGATGGTTTTCTCTTCCTCAGGATCCGGCAATATGTGCCAATCTGCTCCCTAAGAGATAAAATCATTCAGTATCTATCTACACAGTGGAGGATTGGGAGGACAACTTGGGCGAGATAAAACCATTACTTTGGTTAAGGCTTGCTATTATTGTCCTCAATTGAAGCGAGATGTTGGAAGATTTACACAAAGATGTTCTATATGTCAGACATCTAAAGAGCAACAATAAAATAATGGATTGTACACAACTTTACCATGCCCGATGAATCATGAAAAGATTTAACCATAGATTTTATGATGGAGTTTTCATATACACAAAGGCAACATGACTCTGTGTTCGTGGTGGTGGATAGATTTAGTAAAATGGCACATTTCATTACATGTTGCAAGACTTCTGATGCGACCATCATAGTCTGTTTTTTCTTTAGGGAAAATCATTTCAGACAGGGACATGAAGTTTTTCAGTCACTTTTAGAGGACTTAATGACGACGATTTAACATGGATTTTTAGTATATCACTACTTACCATCAATAAACTGACGGACATACAAAGGTAATGAATTGCTTTTTAGGAAATATCATTAGGTGTCTTTGTGGGGAACGTCCTAAGCAATAGGACTTCTTTATCATAAGCAGAGTTTGAACAAAACAACAAGAAAAACCAGAGAACGGAAAAATCACCATTTGAGGTTATTTATGGCCAGGCAACTCGCCTCTCTTTGGACCTGATTCCTCTACCTAAAGTTCCAGATACTATATTGTACTAGAGCACTTGGCAGATCATATTCATACAGTACAGAAAGAAGTACACCAATAAATTGAAGTTTCCAATGCTAAGTATAAAAAACATATTGATGTCCAGAGACCGAAGAAGATTTTTTAACGAAAGTGATGATATGATGGTCTACTTGAGCAAAGAGCGACTACCAGCAGGTAACCATAGCAAGTTAACTCAGAAGAAAATCGAGCCACGTAAAATTCTTAAGAAAATCAATGACAATGCCAAATATCACACCCAGAAAACAAGCGGTAAGAATATAAATCCGCAATAGTAAGACGAGCAATAAAAACATTTAAGATACAACAAAATCCAAAATGAAGTTTGCAGAATCTAGCTTAGTTGTGGAGCTCTGTAAACCAAATAAAATGTAAACAATGAGATGAACTAGATACAATCCAGAGTGTATAGCAAAATCCGCACCCAAAAATGTTTACAGGAAATCGATGTACATAGTCAGAAGGAACAAATTACTCCTGAACTCATAGAACTTGATTACAAATGCCATTGATCTAAACTACTCGTGCGAACAAAAGAAAGGTACAAAGTGAATTTTCTAGTACAGAAACGCAAGAATCCTGGTTCAACCAAATGATAACAAATGATTTAACAGTTCAAAAGATGGAACTTTGTATCAAAACGAGCATGGTTCATGTGTAAATGATTTCACAAGTTGATTTTCTAGGGAGCTTGGATATCTCATTCTGGTTCAACCAGCCACCCGAAATATACATCTTCTCCAAAACTGTTGAAATAGAGAATAAAATCCTGACCGCGTGCAACTCCTTGTCAGTTGCAGAAAACGTGTGGATCTTGATGGTCTTGAGCTTTGTCAACAAACAAGGAGGCATTGGATCCCATATGAAATTTTTATGTTTCTTAGACAAGAAGATACCCTGCAAATCAATCCAACCTTAATATCCAATGTTAACCCTAGTTAACCATAGCAAAACCTAGTTGTTGGTTTGAAAATCCTACCATCCCAAAATCAAGACATTCAAGATGCGGCAATTTCTGAAGTAATTTATGTAGTGCACGACAAGATAAATCAATACATTTCCGCTTCAATTTGAGATGAGTCAATCTCGGGAACACTGGGAGATCTAATTCTTCTGCATATGCAAGAATCTAGAAATCGAAAAACAAAATACAATGAAGTTTATAATTACAACTGAAATACCCTTTCTTGTTTAACATAAACATTTTATAAGGAAGTAGAAGAAGACAACCTCATATTAATAAGAAACAGTGAGCTAAATGCCATGATTAATTGATTTCTACGATTGGAAACATACCTCAATAGTATCAGGTGACAGCACCAAGCTTTTCACATTACAGCACTCCATAATAAGCTTATGGACACGATAAGCAGCTTCTCTTTCTCTCCTTTCCCGTTCAATACTGCTTTTTGACCTCACTTCTATGCATGCATCAATTATCGAGGAGGATGAATATAAGCAATAATTAGTTTTGAGTTCACCACTGTAGGAGAAGGATTTGACCTTTGCTCCAGAAATCACAACTTGACAACCACCACCCCAGTTAACATCACATATGACCACGGATTCAAGCATGGGAGTAGAAATACACACAAACTTTGCATCCCCCCACTCACATTCATTTAAAGTCAGTTTCTGCAATTTTGGACAACCACCGAAGAACTGTAATATTGACTGCTCATCCGAAAATATACAAAATGACAATTTTAACTCATTCAGATTGGGAAAACATGTAGTAGAAGGAAGTTGAAAATTGTCTGTAATTTGCAGTTTCAGTGCAGTTAGTGTTGGACAAAAGAAAAGGTGATGAGGCAACATAAATGTCTCACTTCCATTGTCAAGGACAAGTGATAAATCTTGAACTTTAAAGCATAGTGCATTACTTATCAATGCATTAATACGACAGGCACCATCCAACACTTCACATGCAATGGAGAATTTCTCTATTTTTGGGACATCACGCCACATCATTGCTCTTTCTGCAGAAGTTAAGAAGAGAGTCCTTTTATCTGCTATCCATTCTTCAAAGTCAAGATTAGAAACAGACATCCATAGATGTCGCCATCTCTTAGATAATATGCTAGTTTTGAGAACATCTTTTGCAGGAAGGAAAGATAAGATGTGCAGAAGCATTGTGTCTGGCAGATTTTTTATTATATTCCGTTCCACATCCCCATTCTGAAACTTCCTACGCTTGTAGTTTTTGGTATCAACATCTTGACCGCTTTCACTCATGATTCTAGTTAACTTCCTAAAGTAAACAAAATAAGGACATTAGCAAGAATCGAAAAAGCTTGATTTATTTAAGTATAAAAGAGAAAGAAATTAGCATGATGACAAAAACTTCAATCAAAATAGTTATGTAAAATCAGAAGCACTAATCAGGATTCAGGCATCACCACTGCAAAATTAATTTAACCAAAATCAAATTATAGCAAGCTTACTTTAGGAAGATTTTACAACATTAATCAAATAAAAGCCAATGGGTTGTCTCCTTCCATGATAAAAAACATATAAATAATGCTCCACACCAGAAACTACAAACTTCTACTAGTGTCAATTGCCTCAAAATCAAATACAATTCAACATAATTTTCAGCACCCAAATTCTTTCAAACTCAATCTCTCAAACTCCCCTTAATTTCCTAGTTTCCTATCATCAGAAAAAACCAGCAACCTCTCATTCTCTATCGTGAGTAGCAATAATCTAAAGTAACGAACTTTTTTCAGAATAAGATTTCATTTCAATCCATAAGTGACGAGAAGATTAATTTACATAAAAAATTAATTTCAACCAAACAACTTTTCAAGAATAACATGTTATAGTAAAGGGATTTTACTTAAAACTACGTATTACAAAATTCTACTAATTCAAGAATAACATGTTATTCTAAATTTCAAGAATAACATGGCAATTTTATTGGCTTAAACCTCAAAATCTAATTCAAGAAAAAAATTCACAAATAATTGCATATAAGATTCATCGTACTCCGCAAAAGACTCCAAATTTAAGATAATCTATCTGTTTCTCAGCTAGAAAAACCCAAGAAAGAGCATCAAGATTCAACCAACTACTACAAAATTGCAAAAACCTAGGCAAATTATTCTAGCATAGTGATACATACCAAACATTGATAAATTATAGAAGAAGTTCACTCGCAAACTTACCTAAACAGAAAGCGTCAATCCGATTTCTCCTCTATCCAAAAAGCGTAGATTAGATTTTTCAAGTCCAAAATCCAAAATCTTTTTCTTTGTCACTGTCAATGCAAACGCAAATCTAGCACCGATAAGGTTTTTGTTACGTGTCGTTTTCCTTGTGGGCCACATCTATGATTATAAATTTAGGCAAAATCATAATATGGCCCCTAAACTTTGACTCAAAAACAAAAACCTCCCTGAACTAAAAAACAAATCTGATTTTGCACTATGAACTAAACTAATTGAGGATTTAATTACCGACTAACGGCTAGTTAAGGTTTTTGTCCGTCTTACCGTTAGTGAGTCCTACCCAACACCATTACACCGTGACTCCCTCCAAAACCGTACGTGTGAAGCTTGTATTCCCTTCTAACATGTGTGTGGGTGAAGAATTTTAAGGAGTAAATTATTAATTAGTCCTTCTAGTTTCAAGAAATAAATTAGTTAGTCTCTTTGTTTCAAAACTTATTATTTAATCCTTTAATCAGTTTTAAATATGCTTAATTTAATATTATTTTTATTTTACAAAATCTCTCATTTTATCATTAATCTTTTTTTTTAATTTCTTGAAACTAAAAATTAAAATGGAACAAAAAAGACTAAATTACAAATAGATGTCGCTAAAAATTTAGCTCTTTTTTTAAAAAAAGAACTAATTAATTTGTTTCTCGAAAGAAAAGGGACTAATTTATAATTTACTTGAATTTGTTAATGGTACTAATTGTGGCAGACATAAAAGACGTCCATAAAAGATGGTAAATTATAAAATAAAAAAATATTAAATTAGTAATAGTGGTTAAAAAAATTAAATAATTAGTTTTTGAAACTATAAGGACTAATTTATAATTTAGTCATTAATTATATCTTCAAACCTACTAAAAAAAATAAAAATAAATAACATGACATTTTCCCTTTTTATGGAGTCCTTCCAATTTTTATTTTTATTTTTCTTTTTTCGTTAGGATTGGCATAAATAATAAGTTAATAATAATCCACGGTGGAACTATTTTCCTTTTTGATGGGTCTTCAAGAATATCATCTGACCAGTTTTATTAGCCGAAATTAAATACCTTCTTTTTTTTAAGGAAAAAAAAGTTGTTTTCAAAATTCAAACTCAAAAAATTGAAGAAGAAAACGACTAGTAAACCTATCCTTTAGCTAACCAAAATATTAAAGCCTACTTATGCATCTCCGAACTGTAGCGAAAATGGTAAGCAATACAATCAGTATAGATATCAGGGGAATAAAAGTTGAGGAACATGCAATCACCTTTGACTTACACTATACAGAAGCAGAATTGTGGAGGGGAAGACAAAATCAGTAGGCTAAAGCATTGACATCTGTTTTGAAACTTGGAATGCTGTCTCGAGAGCTGCTTGTAATTTGCAAATTGAGTCTATCTGTATATCATAGAAGTTCAAAAAGAAACACTAATCAAAATCTTCACTATTGTCTCGCTGTCTAGAGATCAAAAGTATATTAAATTTACCTGCATTTTTCCAAAAGAGAACCTGGATGAGCCCTTTACAAGTTTGGGCCACATTACAAGTTTGAACTAAGGTTTCAGAAGTCAAATAACAATGCTGACAAAGAAGGGTTATGCAGTTCCTTGAAGTGTAAACCAACTATGGATAGCTGATTGTAAAGTAAGAGTTGCGAGTAAGCTAAGCTTAGTCTTTAGGCTGCCACGTTGAATTATGAGGACTGAATAAACTTGTCACAGCAACTTATTCTTTTGGCTGCTGCACTGCGATGGCATTTAGCATCTCAAACAATTTGCACAAATTACTACCACAATAACACTGCTCTCTCAAATTGTCACTAGCAATCTAAGATGTAATTCAGTGACAGAAGATGAGCAACACCATTGTTTGAAATTTATGCTTCAATCTCAAAAATATAAGAGCCTGCTTGGGCTAAGAATATTTGAGACCATTCAGGGTTAAGAAGCCATAGAAACTTTCAATGAATGAAAGAAAAGAGAATCCCTTGTTGTCAAATCAAATTACATTGCAGTGAAAAGGACTAAGTTCTGCAGTAAATAATCTGAATATCATATCCTCCAACATGGTATAACATGTATGGGATATCCCTGTAGAGAAAACACCACAAACAATACAAGTAGCGTAGATATTGGGGAAATTTTTATTAGGTACAAAGACAATCAGAACGCTCTTCTGTTCTAAAATACATTGCATTGTCATTGTGCACAGAGTTGTTACAAGCAGTTCGAGGAATACAAAGGGAAAAAAAAGTATTTTATCTCAATAACTAGTTTTCTTAAAACATGCATATTTGTATGAATAAGAAATCACCCTTGAATCATACCTACAAACAAGCAGAATCGTTGGGGGAACTAACACGGTGAATTTATTAGGTTAAGGCCTCGGCACCAGCAACAATCTCCAATAGCTCTCCTGTAATCTTGGCCTGACGCTCCCTGTTGTATATGACTGAAAGGTTCTTCTTCAACTCCACAGCATTATCAGTTGCATTACTCATAGCACCCATTCTAGCAGAAAGCTCACTAGCTAGTGATTCCTGCAATGCCTTCAGAATCTGGCTGTTCAAATACAAAGGCAACAAGGCATCAAGAATCTGAACTGGGTCCTGCTCAAACTGCATAATTGGTGAGAGCCCAGCTTTTTCAGTCCTAACAACATCTCTCTCTACAGCCAATTTCCCTTCTTTTGTTGTCAACCTGAAGAACTCATCCTCAGCTGCATCAACACTAACACCATTCACATCACAAACCCTTCCCATTGGTGATAATGGAAGCAAGGTTTGCATAACAGGATCACATTTAACAAGGGACACAAATTTCGTGTACAAAAGCTCCACTTTATCAACCTCCTCACTAACAAACAATGAAAAAACATCATCTGCAATTGCTTGAGCTTCTTTAGCTGTAGGAAAACCCATTCCTTCAAGAAACCTATCAACAGGAATATGCGGCCTACGAATAAAATAAGAATTACCCTTTTTTCCAACACTAATGACAGTATATTCAACTCCAAGATTCTTCAATTCAGCAATTCTTGCTTCTGTTTTCTTGAGAATATTATTATTAAAACCCCCACAAAGTCCTCTATCACCAGTAATCACAACAAGAGCAACTTTCTTTACAGGCCTAATATTAGTTAAAGGCACATCTATATCTTCAGTTTGAAGCTGTTCATTAATGTTATAGAGAACTTCAACAAGAGTTTCAGAAAAAGGCCTACCATTAACAACAGCTTCTTGTGCTCTCCTCACTTTAGCAGCAGCAACAAGCTTCATAGCCTCAGTGATCTTCTGTGTGTTTTTCACTGAATTTATACGAGTCCTAAGCTCTCGAAGACCACAATGAATTGGGGTCGCAGAAGAGGATCTTGAAGGTGAACTTGGAAGCTGAAAAGGGTTGGTGGAAGAGTAAAAAGAGAGTGAACTAGTGCTGGAAAGACAAGATTTTGCAGATACCAACGGTGTTAGATTTAAGCAGTTCATTCTCTCTCAGTCAAAATCCTAAACCCCTTAAATCTCTTTATTCATTACTATCATTCTCTGAATTGAATTGAATGCAATCAGAGAAACTCCAAAACCCTAAAACCTCCACTGAGGCGGCGGCAGCAGCGGTAGCAGTAGAAGCCGTCACCACCACCTCCACAACTGTTGGTGCTCTCGCATGTGTTGGAAAAAAAAATGGCGTAGGTGTAAGTCTAACAGTTTCTTTCGGGCTGAATCATAAATTCGGCCCATGTGGTATTAAAGAAACCCCAAACAAAGAGACCAAACATATTCAAGGTTTATAGAGCCCGCTTAAACTATCCTTTAGATCTGAACCGTAACTGGTAATAAAATCATCAGCATTTTTTTTTAAAAAAAAAAAAAAAAAAAGGTTGTCTAGGTCTTGGAGCATACAGATGAGAATGTTTTTACTGAAACATGAATCTAAAGGATACAAATCATTTTGTACTTTTTGTTAAGAATTATTTTCTTCAATATATGTTGCAAATGCATATTATTTTTTCAGCCAAAAAAGTCACTTTAAAGATGACTTAAAATATCAGTTATTAATGAGTTGTTGGTCTACTTAACTAATAAATTTAAGATATGTGGTTTATAATAGCTCGATAATTGTCAAATAGTTTGTAGGTTATGATCGGAAAGTTTCTTTGCACTTTATATTTTTAAAACGAGACTTTCCTTACTTAGATCATTCGACACTTATATTAGTAGTAAAAAATTAGTAAATTAGCTTGAAGAAGCTATTTTATGCAAGTATGTACTAATTTATGTGTAATTTAATATAAAAGTACTTGATTTGCATCATGGACTTGTTTGGAGAGTGTTTTTAGAACTTGATTGTCGTTCTTCTATTGTATTGTTTTATTTGTGTTTGGAGCTATTGTGGAATAAGTATTGTATAAATATTTTTTTTTCTTTTTCAGGAGTTTTAATGTATGTGTTGAACTTGTGTGTTTGTTCTTCTCGAGATCTGGATCCAAGTTTCGATTTTGCTCCTCTTAGGCTTCTTCTTCTTCTTCTTTTTCTTCATTTTTCTTTTCTTTTTTTTTTTTAAAAAAAGCACTAATAAAAGCTTCTTGCAAGGTCCTAAAGACAGAAATATCAATCATTTCTTAAGATTAGTGGATGAGTCAATAAGTGTTGATATTTTGTTATTATTGTATATGATTATGTATAATGTTAGTACAATTGTAACTGAGTGATGATCTGATTGATGTCATCATGGTGGATTTTTCATTTAATGTTTTGTTTTTGAGTAATAGTAGAGGAATGCAACATCTTTTTCTTTCGTGCTGGAGCCTCCTGAGGTAAAAAGATTTTATAGCCTTTCTATGGGGAGGCGGCCCTTGTTAGGAGAAGTTGGTGTCTTTCCGGAACTCTAAACCCACTTAATGGGCTAGTGTCTTTTGGCAAATTGTAGGCCTTGGTTGGGCTTGATGGGCTTCGGAGTTGGGGGTCCATGGGCTCTTTTTGTTGAGCTGTGCAAAAAGGCTTCTCATTAGTGATGATATCTTCAGCTGTTTTGAAATAATGAAATAGGCAGTATAACGCAGGCATATCAAGTAATTTATCATTATAACATGCATGGCTACAAAATCATAGTATAAGTTTTACAAATTCCATAAGTAAATATAATTCCGTTCTATTGAGATAGTAAAGTACATTTTGGGTCCTCTCATCTTTTTCTAATAAAAAACAATAAAACCTAGCCTTTTAAAGCACTTATCTAGCTATCTTCATGAATTTATCAACAACATGACTTGCTAATAACAAGTTGATGGAGGGATAATCAAACTTTTTATAAAACGTTAAATTTCAAAGTCAAGGACTCAAATTTTAATAATTACAATATATAATTAATGATATATCTACGTCTTTAAGCATGATCGGAGTTATTTTGAAAAGATCTTAAGCTTCAATCCTATTATAAGTGTAATGGGATCTTTCTAAACAAAAAAACTACGTGATATGGAAACAATGTTTCTCGTTGGTAGATGTGAGATAACCTACTTACTTTTCATTTATAATAATAATAATAATAAATTAATTAGACCACTCACATTTTATTTTCATATACTCTCTCCTTCTAAAATAAATTATTACTCTTTTTTTCTAAATATATTGTCCTCTTCAATGTTTTTACCTAAATTAAGAAAGTTATTAATTATTATGTCATATCAATATTTTTTGTTCATACTTTCTTAATATACCATTTTTTTTAATTGTATTTGGACAATTTTTTGCAAAATGGATTTTAATTAGAAATAGTTTAAGAAAGTAGACTACTAAATTTTTTAACTAGACAAATATTTTAAAATAAATATAAATAGAAAAATAGACAATACTTTTAAAACGGAAGGAGTATCATATTTTACTTTTAACACATGTTAATAATGACTTTTTACCCACGTTAATTTTGTCATCAATTAATACTATGCTATATCATACTCTTTTATTTATATTTTTCTTATATACCCCCTTACCAATAACAAGTCTCTTGAAAAAAATGAGTTTAAATCAAGGATATTATAATTAAATAAATAACTTAATTATTTGACTAACAATTATTTTGGAAGGGATAAAAATAGAAAGATAAATAATTTATTTGAATATTTTGTACTCACATCAAATGGTGTATACTTAGGTTTAGATTCAATTGAAAAATGGGTTGATTTAGATGAAAAATTAAGCTTCAACAAAATTAATTAATCACTTCTCTAGGTTTTAGAATTTACATTTAATCCTTATATTTATCAATTTGTTTATAATGTAGTCCCTTAATTTATTTTATTTTTCTTTCAAAATTAAAATAAATAAAATAGAAACGGGCTAGATGAGAAATTTAATTAAAAAAAGAAGACAATTTTGAATTAAAAAAAAGTCTAAATTGAGCATCGCCCTTGGCAATGGATTATATAATTATTTCTATTACTATAGGGACTATTTATATAGTCTAATGAATTGTAGGGATTTTATTAAATTACCTCCACGAGGGGGAAAAAAAGGTCGGCCATAAAAATAAAAGAAAAAGAAAAAAGGAATCACACCAATGAAGTTTCTCTTCCCTTTCTCTCTCTAGAAAATAAAAATTCGATGCTATAATCCATTAAAATCCCCAATTCATAAACCCTAATTCTCCACATCCATTATCTTTTCTCTCTCTTAATGGAAACAAATGCTATCGACAAAACTCCTAAATCCTAAAACCTCCACCAAGGCGGCGGCAGCAGCCGTTACCACCACCATGCCAAATGAGCTGTTGCCACAGAAACCATCTGCATCGTCCATACTCGACAAGTTCCGGTCTTTGTTGAAGCAACGACAAGAATCGGTGGGGGAAGACGATGGTAGTGGTGACGTGGCAAGTTTGAATACGGAGGATGTGGTTGAGATTTATGAGACGGTTTTGAATGATTTGACGTTTAATTCAAAACCTATCATTACTGATTTGACTATTATTGCTGGAGAACAGCGGGAGCATGCTGAGGGTATTGCTGATGTTCTTTGTGCCCGCATTGTTGAGGTCTGTTTTTTGTTGCTCTCTTTTTCTTTAATGTGTGGGATTTTTTAGGGTTTAGTTATTGAGATTGAGTAATTTTTGTGTGCGTGTTTTTGTCTTACCTTTGAATTTTAGGTTTTAGTTATTAGGATGGATAATGCTAGAATTGATGATTTTATGAATAGCGGTGCTAGTAAAATGTGGGAGAATTGACAAATTTTGGGGTTTACTTATGAGTAAAAGTATTATTGATGTATTTGGTGTTAGTATTAAATGTTTTAAATTGGTTTCTTTGATGTTATTGACGGGGATTATTTGACGGTTTAGAAGAGGGACATTTTCTGTTATTGCGTGGTTTGTAGAATTTTGGGGGCTTTTTTTTTTTTTGAATGTTGTATTGGAAGTTGAGAAAATGTGAGAGAATTAAGAAGTTAAGGATTAAACTTAGTTGAAAACCTAACTTTTCAGCTTTCTTGGGTTGACAAAATCCTAACATTTTTCCCAGTTATTAACGGTTTTATGTCTGTTTGTTTAAGTGGAACTAGCGGGAAGGAAAAGCAATTTGAAATTATACATTGTTTAAATTCCAGCTGCGTGGTTGCTGGTGCTGCTTCAATGCTTGCTTCTTCTTTTTTTAGTTTTTGTGAAATTTGCCATTTTTTTTCCTGCAATTGATTTTGGTTCCATCTGTAAATCTTTGGACCTTTTGATAACTCAGATTTGTGATTTTGTGTGTGTGTTTTTTTTTCCTTGGTTACTTGGCCAGTTCCTTGGATAATGTGGATAAAGGAAATATATTTTGATTGTTGAAATCAGGAAAGAGATATTGCTCAAGTAAACTCTGAAAAACTGAATATGGAATTGAAATATGAATTTTTTAATTTAAAAGTTTGAATTTTACCCCCTGCCTTATCTTTTTTCCATATCTAGAGGAAAATTGAGTTTATATATCTATGCTTCTTTTTTGTTTTTCCTGAGGAGGGGTGGTTATTTGTTTTTACTTTTAATTTTTTTTTTATGTTTTTTATTTTTTGCAGGCCCCTGTAGATCAAAAGTTGCCTTCATTATATCTTTTAGATAGCATTGTGAAAAACATTGGGCGTGAATATGCTAGGCACTTTTCTTCCCGTTTGCCTGAGGTGAGTTAATCGCAGAATATTGTGCTTTCTTCTCTTGCTGTTTTGTAAGCTCAATAGTTATTATTCTGCATGGTTCTGATATTTGTTGCACTGTCAATTCACCAGGTTTTTTGTGAGGCATACAGACAAGTTGACCCTAGCTTATATCCTTCTATGCGCCATCTTTTTGGCACATGGTCCACAGTGTTTCCATCTTCTGTACTTCGCAAGATCGAGACTCAATTGCAGTTTTCTTCACAAGTAAATAATCAGTCATCAAGCTTCACTTCCTTGAGAACTTCTGAATCACCCAGACCAACTCATGGCATACATGTGAACCCAAAATATTTGCGTCAGCTGGATCATTCAACTGCAGATAATGTAAGATTTCCAATGAAATCTCTGTCCCTCTCCGTGGTGACTGCAGCTTTCAATTTATAGTCCTGCTGGCGAAACATATGCTTCATGTTTTTGAATATTCACCTAGGATTTTGTGGTTAAATTACCTGTTCCGTGGTGTGGTCATTCTAATGGCCTGTTTAAAGATTTTTTTCTTTTTTTTAAAAAAAAAATAATGTGTAGTTTAATACAAATACACGAAGTTAAATTGTCATCATTTTGAAGTTTTCAAGGCTGAAATATCAGTAGCTAAAGATGGCTTCTTGATACTGAACATTGCAGTAGTAGATTTTGGATATCATGATGAGTCTTAAGCAAAGTAAAAGTTATGCAGAATAGCTCTTTGGTGCATCTTTATATAATGCTTCCCCCTTTAATCTAAGATGCCTGATTTAGTGAGCTCTCAACTATTATAATGCTCAAATAGAAAGCCTCTTAGTTAGTTGTTTTGCAACTTTGTTGATTGTTATAATGCAATTTACTGTTTTGGGGATTTGTGTCAAACATCTATTGATTAAATGCCCTGCAATTTCAGCATTTTGAATAACCATGGCTGGTTCTAGATATGGAGACTTCCATTTTTTTCTTGAAATACATGTGGTGGTGACTCTTTGGTTACGTCTAAGATGCTTGATTAAGTGAGCATTATTGTTTGAGTCATTGTTTTTTTTATGTATCAATTTCTTTATTATGTCGGAATTTCAGAAGGCAAACTATTTTTTTGGGTCTTCTTTTTGGAAGGGCTAAGAAACAGGTCAGCTCTAATGATCCCACAAAAGCAAGACCCTTTCTGTAAATTTTGGGGAAGATTAGAGTTGCATGTAGAATCTAGATCTTTTTTTTTCCATCTGTTTGGAACATGGACTTTCCTCTCGGCTAAATTCTTCCTAATGTACTGTGGTTCACTAATGTTTACTTTGTACGCAATAAATGATTTGATTGTAAGTTTAATGTATGAGCACACAAGCTACATTTTGCGATTATGTTGTATTTTGTTATTGATCCTTGCTTTTGTGTAATTGTTTTATCTTCAGCTGTTGACACTGTGTAATGCAATGTGCATCTGTCTGCATGCAGACAGGGTGATAACACAAACGTAGAAAATGCTAAAACTGTAATTTAACCCTCGCAGAATGTTCAGCACACAAAGGGAACTACTTCGAATCTGAAAATATACGGTCAAAAACCTGCTATTGGATATGATGAATATGAAAGTGATAAATCAGAGGTCATACCTTCACAGGTTGGAGTGGGCCGTACATCTCTTACTCTTGGATCTAATAAGCTGCAACCATCTTCAACTCCCAGGCTTGCAAGACGCTTATCGCCTTCAACAACTGGAGCTGAGAGGCCGTTATCTTCAGAAATTGATGACTTTGCAGCAGGAAATTCTCCACGAAGGTTTGTTGAGGGGTTGTCCCCATCTCATCCTTTATTTGATTATGGACACAACAGAGCCTTTGTCAGAGATGAGGAGACAAATGAATTGAGAAGAAAACACTATTCTGATGATAACCATAACAGATTTGAAGCTTCTGCTAGATATAGCCATAGCAACGGACATGAACATCAAGGACCCAGAGCTTTGATAGATGCATATGGGGACGATAGGGGGAAAAGAATTCCAAATAGTAAACCACTGCACATTGAACAGTTAGCTCTAAATGGCATGCATAATAAGGTGGGTACAAGAACATGGCAGAATACTGAAGAGGAGGAATTTGATTGGGAAGACATGAGCCCTACTGTGTTAGATCGTGGTAGGAGTGTTGATTTCTTGCCATCATCTGTTCCACCTTTTGGAAGTATTGCTCCAAGGCCTGGCTTTGGAAGGCTAAGTGCTAACCGTGTGGAATCTGATATCAGGAGCAATCGTTCGAGTCTGACTCCAATGGCAGATGACTCCTCAAATATTCCTGAAGATGCAATCTCGATTCTGGGCGTATGCTTTCTCAACTTGTTTGCTGTGTCTATTACTGTTTAAGCTTATTTTCTTGTTGATCTACTGTCCAAAAGCTGGACCTTGTTTGATTCTAATTACATATTTTGATTTCTTTTTCTATAATAAGGTTGTGAATATTTGTTAATTTGACTAGAATTTATTTGAAAAAAAGCCCCCCCACCCCCCCCCCCCCCCCCCAATTTCTCTCCTTTTCCTCCATCTTGGTCTTGCAATTTGGCTCTTTTAGAGCTTATCCGCTGCATTCTTTGCTACCGTTCAAATTATCATGGGATTATAATTTGTATTTCAATTTATTATTTGTATAGTCAGTCAACATGTCAAGAAGATACCCGGTTATCTTCTTGTTTTTAACCTTTTCTCATTATTTGTGTTAAGAAACAGTTAGGTGTGTTGTCCATTTACTAGAAACTGGCTTCTACATTTTTTCTTTCTGTTTTCAAAGATTGATGTGCTTCCTGCAGTCTGGCCGTGGATCAACAAGCAAGATGCCTGGATTCCTAACTGATAGAAATCAGATCTTGGGTTCTCGTTATCCTCAAGAAGCTTGGAATTTGCCACCTCACATCCGTCCGCAAGCGCATCTCCTGAATGCTAAAGGAAGAGGAAGGGATTTTCAGATGCCCTTATCTGGAAGTGGTGTATCTTCTTTGGGTGGCGAGAATTTCGCTCCACTTGCTGAAAAACTTCCAGATATTGACGCGCAGCATATTAGACCTCCTGCCATCGCATCAAGATTGGGTTCTAATATTGACTCTAACGGTTCTGGGACCTGGTCAAGTGTTGTGCCACCATCATCGGGGGTCTGGCCTCCAGTAAATGCACACAATTCTCTCCCACCTCCTGTGCATCCTATTTTTCCTCCTGCAAAGCAGAGCAGAAGTCAGTTTGATCCAATAAATGCCAGCAGCACTGTTAGAAATCAGGCTTTACAAAAGGGTTCGGTTTTGCCTGAACAGCCATTTAATAATTTTGAGAGCAAAGATTATAGTTTGATGAAGCCAACATCAATGCCTAATCAGCATGCTGCTCTGAATCAGCAAAACCAGGCACATGTTAATCCATTTCAGCCACAGCTTCTCCCATCTCATGAAGCCCGAGAAAAGTTTCATCCATCTGGGTTAGCTTCAATGCCACCTCGTCCCCTGGCACCACTGCTGAGTCATGGGTACACTACACACGGGCATGGCACTGCCATCAGTATGGTTCCCTCAAATGCACTACCTGCTGCACAACGAACTTTACCAGTCAACAATATTCCAAATACCTTGCATTCACAAGTGGGGGTTCGGCCACCTTTGCCACCTGGTCGTCCCCCTCAAACGATGCCTTTCCCTCAGAATGCTAGTTCAGGTCTCCCCGGCCAACCATCTGGCAGTGCATTTTCGGGTTTGATTAATTCTCTCATGGCGCAAGGTTTGATCTCATTGACAAAACAAACACCTGTACAGGTACTCTTTTGAATAGCATCTCTATTTTTTCTTCCAATGAATGCAATATTAGCCTGAAAGTAACCTTCTGACTCAATATGTAGGACTCTGTGGGACTTGATTTCAATGCTGACCTTCTCAAGATGCGCTATGAATCTGCAATAAGTGCGTTGTATGGTGATCTGCCAAGACAATGCACAACATGTGGCCATCGGTTCAAGAGTCAAGAAGATCACAGCAATCACATGGATTGGCATGTTACTAAAAACCGGATGTCTAAGAACCGTAAGCAGAAACCTTCTCGCAAGTGGTTTGTAAGTGCAAGTATGTGGCTCAGCGGTGCAGAGGCATTAGGAACTGATTCAGTTCCTGGCTTTTTGCCCACTGAGACCATTGTGGAGAAGAAGGATGATGAAATGGCTGTTCCTGCTGACGAAGAGCAGAGTACATGTGCATTATGTGGAGAGCCTTTTGATGATTTCTACAGTGATGAAACTGAGGAATGGATGTATAAAGGAGCTGTCTACCTGAATGCACCCAACGGATCAACAGCAGGTATGGATAGGTCTCAGCTAGGTCCCATAGTACATGCCAAATGCAGGTCGGATTCTAGTGTGGTTCCCCCTGAAGATTTTGGACATGATGAAGGGGTATGCATTTCTTTCTTCTTGTGCTTTTAACTTAATTTTTTGGTCAGAGCATAATTTATCAATGTTTTGGTCAGCGCATAATTTATCTTTTAGGTTTCTGCTTTAAGTGTTTTTTTTATCTTGATGTATTGTTCAATTAAAAGTTGTTACTGGAACACCAAAACCTTAATTCAGTTGCACACTCATGCCACCTTAATCCAAGATGTAGATTTGTACAATTTGTTGGGAAAAAAAAATGTTTTCAGCTTGCAGAAAAATTAATCATGGCAATACAAGTGACTTTAGTTGAATGTCGGTGATGTATTAGATTATCTCCTCTTTTCTCTTTCCTGTGCTCTTGCAAACATGAGAAATATGCTTTTTTTTTGGCTCTGCCAGGTTGGTGTCTGTATGGTTTGTGTTCTGCTAAAAAAACTGTCAAAGCATGTTAGCTTGTATGTAAGTTGAAAGTTCAATTTAATAAAATATGTTGTCCATGCTCCTTCACTTGCTCTTCGGATATGGGTTTTCTTTTAACTTTCAAACTACTTGAGATTTATTTCTGATTTATCATCTGCAGGGCAATTCTGAAGAGGGTAGGCAAAGAAAACGAATGCGGAGTTAACCGTTATTAGATCGGCTTCTAAGTCTCATGTAACTTTGAGTTTCATCATGTTAGTGGTATGCTCTTACTTATTTTTACAGTTGTGTTGGAGCTTGCAATGCCTTGGCTCTATGCCCAAATCATGTACATGTATACTTGGGCTTGTACTTTGCGTTATATCTTGCGGAAAAAAGATTAAAAGTTATGTCATTCTAACATCCAGAGGGATATTTAGAACCATTTTTTTATATGCAAAAAAGAAATGTTTCATTAGATTGGGTGCTTATAGATGCCAAAAAAAATGTGATATGGAATGGACAAATGGTTTCCTTTTATTCCGAGGTCATCCAGTAAATCTATCGTAATTATTAGACTGCTGGAGTTTCTGGGTTGTCTACTTTTGCAGATTGTTTTGATTTTCTGCAGGGACTGCATAGGTCTCCAGTTAGTCAACATTCAGTTGATTCTCTTCAAGGCTGCAACGGTTCATAATAAGCTTAATTCCTTTCAAATTGGTGGATTGGTGGCAGCAACAGCACAACATTGACAGATATAATTTGTGTCTTTTCTTTTTGAACCCTTTTTTTTCCTTTTCCTGGTGTAATGTAATCTGTATTTGTTGAATGGCATCATTTTTATTTGGCGTAGGGTACTCATGCTATCTATTTCAAGCTATCCATTCGGGATGAGTTTTCTGAATAACATCATTTGATGGTTTGTGCCATGTGGAATAACTATTTTGTGATGGATTGATCTTTTGATATCACCCCTAGAATATGGTTATGGACTCCAATTCTTTCCATGATTGGATTTTTATTTTTATTATTTTTTCTTTTCTAAATTATGTTAAAGATATTATGTGTTATTATTGTTATTATTGTTTACTGTGTCATGATTGTTTTTTAGGTGCTTGTAGTTTCATAATGACGAGTGCCACACTAGGTATCAAAGCCTGCTCACCGTAATTTTACAATCTTTTGCTTATTGGATATATGCTACTTTTGTTATTAAAAGGATTGAGCGACCCTTATCATTCTTCATCGATCTTACGGTACAATCAAAATTCTCTGAACAATACACAGTTTCGGGTGGGATTGAGTTTTGTTTAATTAAATAGTCACATTTTTCATTATTTGGATCATATCAAATCTGTATTGGATGGCCAAATATATGGTTGTAAATTGTAGAATTAATGGAAATTTAATTGAAGCTGAATTTAAGATGTAATGTTCTAAAAAGAGTTTAAAATTGTTGTTATAGAAACAATTTTCAGTAGTCAGAACTGAACTTGACATGATAAATTAAACTATATACTGTTTGATATACACATTGAATATAACCGAACAAACTATATTATGTGTGGTGCACAATTAGTTACGATTAATTATTTTCTGTCCTGTCCAAAGTTATTTTAAGGGTTTAAAGGCAAAATTCTTGTCCCATCAAAGGCAAGAATAAACTTGTCCAATACCGTGGATAAAATTATTGTTTCTCAATGTTTTTATTATCTAATTATTTATTTATCACTCATTTATTTTTAATTTAGTTCACTGAAGTTTGATCAAGTTTACCTAAATTTTATTAAAATGAAATATTATAAGTAGAGACGTAATTGGAAAGAAAAAAATTTTCTAAAATGAGTTTTTATTAAGGACTAAAATGTCATAAAAATAAAATATAAGAACCAAAATAAATTGTTGAAAATTTCACGAACCAAAATGAATTTTTATAAAAACTTCATCCATTTTTGTCTTGTATAATGTACAAAACATAGAACAAGAACATTTACTTATTCAGTCCATTCTAATCCAGTTCAATTTCATTTATTGTCCAGTCCTATTTAGTTTAGTACAGTCCAATTTAATTTGTTCCTCTCTATCCAACGCGCCAAGCGCGAAAATAAAAAATGACAAAGAACTAGTTTTTTTTTTCAATTCAAAATTGCGTGTTCCTACCCATGAGACTTTACAAAGTTCATGTGCTATATATTGAGCTCTTCAAACAAAAATTCAATGATGATTTGATGAAATTAATTTGATGTAACTAAAAATCTTTTAGTTTTTTGATAAATGAGTCAAATAAATACAAAAAAAAAAAAGAGTGCAATATAACACATACCGTGTATCGATGCATCTCATATCTAGACAACATAATATCGGTTAATATTTAAAAATCTCATTAGAATAAGTTTCATGTCCCAATACCGACAAGTTTATAAAATCTGTTTTAATATTTTAATTAATTATGAGAACTTATGTGAATGAAACTTTGTAATTATACATCGTAATATTTAATATCATATGTAATTTTATTTTTTATTTTAAATTTATTTTATGAATATGTTTAGTTTTGATAAATGAAAAATCAAACATGCAATAAACTATTTATATCACTTAAAAATAAAATTAAAAAAAAATAATTAGAACAAGACAAGAATCAACAATAAAAATGTGCTCAACATTCTATATTGAAAGGATGCTAAATTTTAGTATACGAGTCCACAACAATTGATTGAAAAACCCCATCATTCTCTACTTAGTTATTTTTTCTTATTTCTCATTAATGTAATTCTGAACATTAATTTCCATTATTTGAAATCTTGTATAAATATGGGCAGAAAAAATAAAATAGCAAGTGATGAATTATTTGATGTGTCAATGCTACTCCAAAAAAATAAAATAAAAAATTGAACAACTAGGCATTAATTCTTGTTATTTAGACGGTCATTAATTTGAGAAAACTAGGCATCTTATATTGATCAATCACCAAATCTCTATTATTGTAAAAAATAAAATTAATCATTATATGTTGTAAGGTTTCATGAAGCATCATTAGTTTTTACATTAATAATTATTTCTACACTAATTTTAAAAAACAACCCAACAAAATTTGAAATTATGGAAAATACATCCTTTTTGTTTGTGAGATTGTATGAAAAATAAGAAAACAACTAAAAACTATTGAGGTAAAATTGATATTGGGAAAATAATAAATAATAGATAAAGAAAAAAAAAGAAAAAGAAGAAAAAGAAAATTAGGCTAGGTGTGCACCAGGCCTAGGCGCAAGGCCCAAAGGCAAGCAAGCCTGCATGCTTGGGCTGTATGACGCAACCCAGTAATGATTAAAAAAGGAAATAAGAAGAAAGACGCACCATTGTCAAAATTTGAAAATACTTGTCTGAAAACTCGAAGGGCTATTGTTTTGGCCACCCACACTCATTGTCTGCACAAATTTACAAAACATCTTAGAATCATCACAAAAACATTTAAAAATCATTTTAAACCTCAAAATACGCTCAAATTCACTTTAAAAATTCAAAATATTGAATCAAATTCAAAAGCTTTTTTTTTCTTTGACTCAATCTTTTTTTTTTCTAATCATTCGGAGCACTAAAACCATAATCAACAAACTCCCATCTTGAAGATGAACACATCTACACTAATATTGTCCGATTTAGTGCTCGAAGGCGAGAGATGTGTTTTTTAATAGAAGGTTAAAACCATATATATGAAGCATGGTGTGCGGCATTGCAAGAAGGTTCTAATACGAAATCAAATTTCAAAAAGCATTTTGGAAAAAATATTTTGTTTGTAATAGTTTTGTGAGACTCTGTACTTTTATAGAGTTGCATTACAAATGACAAATAGAGAACAAAAAGTAAAAGTTGTTAAAAATATATGTAAAGAGAGTGAGCTATAACTAACAATACAAAACTAGGTTTAGAGACCAATCAATAAAAAATTATATATATAAAAAAAACCATATGTAGAGAGAGTTAACTATATCTCTATTATTATTTATAGACAAAGAAATGAAAAGGAATATATGTGTATATATACATACACTCTAATGCTTATCATTCGGGTTGATCTATGGAACAATATATTGACAACCCATTCTTCTTGATCTATGGGACAATATATTGATAGTCCATTCTTACATTCATGTTGTTATAATTATCCTAACACCCTCTCTTAAACTCAAGGTGGTTTTGCAAATACTAACTTGAGTTTGGATATTAATTCTTGAAGGAGACTCGGAAGATGAGTCTTGGTGAAGATATCCGCAGTTTGAGCGAAAAAGGATATAGGAAGTAAACAAAGAGTACCATAAGTAACATGATGACAAATAAAATGATAATCAATCTCAATGTATTTAAAGTGCCCATAGAATGCATCATTGTGTGCAATTTGAATAGCATTATCATTGTCACAATGGATGATGGTGGCAGAAGAGTGAGTAAGACCTATATCTTCTAGTAAACGACAAAACCAAAGTAGTTCGATGTTGAATTTGCAAGAGCATGATACTCTAACTCCATGCCAAAATGAGTTGTCATAGATTGCTTTTTGCTGCACTAAGAAATAAGAGAATCACCCAAAAAGAAACAAGAACCGATGGTTGAATGTCGATTAGTATGATCATTAACCCAATTATCATTAGAAAATCTAGATTGAACCAATGAAGAAGCGAGTAGGAAAATATAGGCCATGAAAAATAGTTCCTTTAACATAACGAAGAATCTAAAAATGGCAAAAAAAATGAGATGATCGAGGAGTAGCCATAAACCGACTAACCAAATGCATAACATAAACAATGTCAAATCAAGTCACGGTGAGGTAGATGAAACTCCAAACAAGCCGACAATAAAGAGTAGGGTCATCGAGAGAAGTGTCATCCATATAAGTAAGTTTGATATTTGGTTCCAATTGAGTGGAAGCAATTTTGCTATTGGTAATACCAACATAAGAAAGTAAACCAAAAGCATACTTGGCTTGAGATAAATAGTAAGCATCAAATTTAGAAGACACCACAAGACCCAAAAAGTAACCAAAAGAACCGAGATCCTACATCTCAAAGTGTTGACAAAGATACTATTGTAACTCTAAAATACAAATGACATCATCACTAGTTATGATCATATCATCAACATAAAGGAGTAGAATAACAATACCATAATTTGTATGTTGTGTAAATAAGACGGAATCATGTGAAATGGAAAGAAATCCAAATTGAGCTATACTCGGAACCGAATTTGGCATACCAAACACGTCATGCTTTTTTTAACCCATATAAAGCCAACTAGAGTTTACAAACTTGCTTTGGAGGATGGGAATAACTTGGTAGAGGATGCATACAAACTTTTTCTTGTAAATCACCATTAAGGAATGTATTTTTGACATCCATCTAAAGAAGTTTTCAATGCTTGATAGCTACAATGGACAATAAACTATGAAAAAGGTTATTCATGTAACATGAGCAAAAATTTCTTCATAGTCGGTACCATATTCTTAATCGTAACCTTTTTTCACCACGCAAGCTTTGTAACGCTCAATTGTTCCATCCGAGCGAGTTTTGATTTTGTAAATCCATTTATTCCCAATAGGAACCTTACCGAAGGAAAACCAACTAGGTCCCAAGTATGAGTTTTCTCTAAGGCTTGAAGTTCTTCATTCATAGCTTATTGTCAAAGAGAGTTAGTACCGACCTCACAATAAGAGTGATGCTCATGCAAGGTTATAATAGCAAAAAAACAATGATAATCT